CGGTTACAGATTTATGCACGGATAATTGTGTTTTCGACAAATTTACGTATGTCTTATACGAATATATGCGACATAGTGACCACAGTGTATATGTCACAATATAATTGGTGCAATTCTATTTTGGCTAAAATTTGTATTGTTCAATTTTAAAATAGGAAGGAGGAGTCACAAGCAAACATCTGAAGTGGTTGCAAAAGTTTGGGAACCACTGTTCAAAATATCTCTTAGAAATTAAGAGGTTTAGTGTAATGGAATTAAAAATAGAATAAATATAGATGAAAATGCATATGCATTTGCATCACATTACGTAGTACTGACTTTTTAGAAAAGTACAAAAAAATCACAATAGAAGAGAGATCCAGCCCAATAAATTAGTACTAAAAATTCACTAAGAATAACTAAATACAAATAAATAAACTACTTAATAAGAAAAAAATAAGAAAATCAAATTTTATGATCCTTGTTTCCCCACATTTAAAAAGTTTTCTATAAGTAACATTAAAACTTATCCAATTTCCAAAATACCCAGTGGCGTCAAAATTTTGTGGTTCTTAGTGACAGTGCTATGCAGTATTTTCATTCTTGAATAATAGCATCATATAGCAGGTAAGGGAATATTTGTTTTCAATTGTTTACCCATTACTAAAAGTTTCATCAATCATCGGAAGTATTTAAATGTGATTTTTTTAACTTGATATCCTCGAAACCCAGTGGTTTAAAGCCTTTTGCTACAATCGAGCTGTTTGGTTAAAAATGACACACATCTACAGAACATCCTGTATATTTTTTTAGATAAAACAAGTAATTCTCTCTAAATTGCCAAGTTATGTGTCAATAGTAATAAAAACCACTAATTAATCTCTTCTGAAATATTTAGGGGAGTAAGGGATCATATATGAATTAACTTTCACATACTTCAATTCAATTCGCAATATGATAACACTGAATTAAATATTCAAAACGGCATAGATATCAATGTATTATCATTCATCCCCATTGTTAATGCTAATTTCATCCAGATATAATACACAAGATAAGTAACTTCAGTTTAATTTCTAATTCCGAATCAATTCAGTTAGTTAGGAGAAAGTGGGGCGAAATATAACAGTAAAGTCGTATTGATCGAAAAAAGTTGAACCTAAAAATTGGTAATGCAGAAAATTTGTGCGGTTGAACAGTCGTCAGATAAAAAAGATTATGGCTAAAACTGCCGCGACTGTATTTTTGAATGAACGTTTGCATTTTAAAAACAAAATCGGTACCTAGGTATTCGTGTAATTAAAAAAAGATAAGTGGGATCTATTTTGACAAAATAACCGTAGCATGAACATAACCGCTGCCGAGATAATTGATAAAAGCATTAAAAAAAGTGGGCACTTGAACAATATAGACGGATAGGTACGGGGCGAAACTCTCGTTCAATTATTTCTATTATTTGATCTCTGCATGACGTGTGCGCAAAACTGACGAATCGCGAAACGGGATGGGACTACATGAAATTTGACCAAACCGCACTAGCAGCGGACTTCAACCAAATATTCGCAGATATTGCACGCTGATGGTGTGTGGAGGAGGCTGTGGAGAAAACGGACCGGCCATGCGTCTCTATTGAAGAAATAACGTTTTTACAATCGGCTCATTATTAATTATTTCGCTTCACGTTATCTGGGCAACGCAACGGCATTTCCTGTTCAACATACTCACGAACATTTCTCGCTAATTGTTTAATCATCGCATTAGCTAATGATACACAAAAATGCGTACCTACCGCAATTTGAATATAAATTAAAATTAGAAATATGTCACGAGATATTTAGCAGTTGCTTTATATACGCGCAAATTTTGATTATCTTATTTCCATTATTATGCTTGAAATACAGAGTAGAAGTTTCGAAATTATCCATTCCATGGTTATATGTAACTAGCAGAGTGAGCCAGGGGTACAGTCGACCGTTTTTGCTTTGTTTGCCGTGCGCTGGCCTACGCTCTCCAGCAGGCTGATTGTAGAGAGAAATAGACTGGAGGGTCGCTGTGTGTTGTAGCTTTCCGTGAAAGCGGCACAGTGTAGCCTAGCAGTGTGCTGTGAAACAGTGACGTCAAGCGAAAGGGACGGCGCTACGGGATTACCGCGGGCCCGAGCGAGACGGCCATACAAGAAACTTATTAGAGTAGGGAGAACGAACGACCCAACCTAACCAGACCCCAGCCCGTTCAGCGATCGATCCGAATGCCGGAATAGACAAAGACAGACTATGTTTTATGCATGGCTGTGAATTGTGAACGGGCCGGCAAACGGCTGAGTCACAGTAATTGATAATAACTTAGGCATTGCTCTTTGCGATTGGGATGAAAACTGAACTGAAAACCACCTCTCTAGATGGACTTGCTATTACAGATTTCTGTTCTGTGTCGTTATAAATTGCTCGAGATTATTAAATGCGGACTCGTAATAAAATTAAACAGATATGCGTGCGTAGCAGCGTTTTATTTAATTAACTTTTTCTCCTATGAGGTGGATTAGATGCTCCTTTGACATAAAACATTTTTCTTGGTGTATATCTACTTATTTAATCCACACTCACAAAAAAGCTGAGCAAAGCAAACATGAGGAGGAATAAACGACAATCATCGATAAAGGTACACCTACCTATACTAAACACGGATTTAATGAACGATCGTTATAGGGTAGGTACCTACCTAATATTAGACTGAATAAATAGGTATAGGTAGGTAGGTAGGTACTCTATCTATTGGTTAAATCTATCATCCGATTATATCCATCTATTAATAGTAGCATCTATGAATTTATTATGGATAACAAATAAGCACCTATAAACTTGTCAATAATATAGGGATGCAGGTTTCTCCAAAGGGAAGAGTACCTAGTTTAAAATTCCATATTTCGAAAATCCTCTGGTTTGAACATTGAAGGCGGTAAAGGAGTAAGGTTTGTATTTCTCATTAAAGTACAATTAAGGGATGAACATTACAAAACCCGAATAGGTAACTATAAATAAACTACGTATTTGTATTATGGCGAGTATTTACATACCTACCATTTACCTACCAATGTGGTAGTTATTAGTAACAACGTCAGATTGTTTCTTTGCTCATTTTCCTAATTAAATACTTGAGAAAGCGTCTCTAAGAACCCCAAAATATGAACGCCACTGAGTACCTACTCCAAATTGGATAAACAACACATTTATTAATTATTAATGTATAGTAATGTATGTATGTATATGTGTAATAATATATGTATATGTATGTATATGTGTAATAATATAGGTATAGTCTTTCCGAAATCAGTTGAACATGTAAAAAAACGCCTGTCAATAAAATTTAATGACTTTCATAGGGGTTCCTAAAAAAGTTTTCTGCTAAGGGTAAAAAATTATAATAATTTGTATATAATGTGTAGAAAATTTCTATTATATGTTCATTTGGCCAACAACATATTTTAATTATTTATGTCCTCAAACAATTTTAGTAAACAAAATATCCTTCTTATTTCTCGCTTTCGCAATTGTAATATGAATGATTAATATAAGGTGTCTATACTAAATTAAAATTACCTGAATCGCTCCAAATTACGCATTGCTGCACTGCACTGCTGGGCAATTTGTCAACAACTTGTCAACCGCTGAGATTTATTGCCCAGTGGCCAATGCAGCTGTGTTTATTCTAATTTACCCGCGCCCGCATTCTTCAACTGGGCGTATACATTTCTACCGCCTAGACGTTTAGTTCGACCAGACCTGTATATGGGTACGGCTAAATAAATATGGGAGGGAAGTTTTTCAAATATTTCAATGCCGAGTTGCTGCATCAGCGACCGAATCTGGTACATACTGTCAACCTCTTGGTTCTTCAATTGTTATCGGAAAGACTATACAGGTCTAAGAATAAAAATTTCTTCGACATTATTTGCAAACCAAATTTTATTTTCGAATTTTTATTTTTTAAATTTAAAATATTTTTTTTCGGAAATTCAATTGTAATACAATAAAAAAATTCCGAAAAAATAATTGTTGTAAAAACCCTGAATTTTTTTGGTACTAGTATATAACAGTGCCTTTCAGTATTTCCGTTACAGACTGACATATTTATACACCACACCAATTCCGTGAATATCCCTTTAATTAATCATACCATCAGTCCGAGCTTTCGTTAATCTAAGTTGAGAATTTTCAGAAATACCTATGTGAAAAATTACGATATATTTTTTTTAAACTTAAACACCCTGTATCTCGAAAGCTAAAGGTTTTAGATTATTGGTTCGTTAAGGCGTTTTACTTTAAAGAGCAACATCTTACAGTTTTAACATGAATTTTAAAAACATCCTGTATTTTGAAGTTTGAAACAAGGCAGTGCCATAGGTATATCTAAAGTTATTTATTCACCTCTTATGTATCAGCTTAGGTTTTAAGCGTGGGCGTATTTCACTGAAGAAAAATTGTTCATATTTTTTAGAACACTCGGTAGATATATAAATATGAATCCTATAATACAAATACTGACTGCATTTACGGTTCACTTGCCTGAAACGATAGAAGATCATAAACATGAAAATCAAATAATGCGTCTTCCCTACCCATTTTCAACACCAACCAACTTTTGGAAAGTCACTCCAAAGAATACCATTTACTTTCCCTCTTTCGGAATGGTATCATCTGAATACAGCTTTTATCGTTTTTGAAATTGCCATATAAATGAAGCTTAATTTCATTAGGCCCTGCGTAAACAAGCAATTATCTCTAGATACGGGCAGTCAAATAGGAATATCTCTAATACACTCAACCAAACAAACCCAAATTGTTCCAATTTCATGAAGTTGCACCGAGAATGAACGGACACCCTTTTTATTGATAATAAAGTTTCCCAAAATACCGCATAATCTAATGACATCCTACTGCAATGTATTAAAGAATGTATATGATTTAATGTAACAATGTTGGATATGATTAAGTAGTAATTTCTGTTTTGTCTTTTTTATTTTCATTCTATCGTTTATATAATTAATTTTATCACAATCATATATCAATAGATTCGGGAGACTGTACTTCTATTTTTGTAGGTGTCGGAGGTTCTGAACCAGACCCATAAGATCCAGGCGACAAAGGCTTCACTGAACCTGGCGTCGCCGGTTGAGACTGAGAAATGTACGTATATGGTTCAAGAGATGGAGGCTGTATTGACGTATGAATCTTCGTTTCTTGAGGATGATAAATATTCTGCATCTGGAATGAACCTGAATTGTTCTGGAAGTCACTAGGGCTGTTGTATTTTCCCATCTGAGCGTCGAACAAAGTTGTATTTATAATGTGCTGAACCACAATCTTCGCGTGATACGTTGGCAACTGTCTTAACCTAATTGCTACCAATTCGCCAAAGAGAGTGTATTCGTCTTGTTGGTTCTTCCAATTTTCTTTCGTAGAAACATTATCCTCATCGGTGGCGTTTTCGAGTTTTCTTTTTCTCGTCGATATTTCCTTTGGAGATGTGAACTGCTTTGTTTTGGTTCTATCGATTTTCTCGGTTTGATCTTCCGTGAAAGGGATTTGTGAGGGATCATCGATACTATGGTCTTCTTCCGAACTATTCACCTACAATGAAAAAATGTTTCATGTGTACATTTTATTCAGAACAAAATATAATTGACTAGGTACTTGGATAAGCATATACCAGTTTTAAGTGGCGACTTAATTCGCATGAAAACTATTTGTGAATTGTTTTAACATGCATAGATGCACGAAATCAGGTTAAAAGAAATATCTTCAAACATACCTACGCCCTGGTCTCACAAATTCCGAGGAAAAACTATTTTCATCAGTTCAATTCGTATCAACAGAGTAGCATGATCTTTTGTGACTTAAGTATGGCTTTAGGTACTTAACTTTAATAAAGAAATAAGAAATGAACTCTGTCGTACAATGAATTCATATCCAATGTAATCATAACACAGCCCCACAAAAACATAAAAAGTATCGGATCTGGTATTCAGACCTATGTATTTCCATGTATTTTTTTCCGCTGAATCTGAATCTGCCTTTAGATTTGGCACAACGGGCCTGAGTTTTCGGGAAAATTCAAAAAACCGGTCAAAATTCACAAAAAACGTAATTTACGATAGACGAAAGTTATAAAAAATCAAATTATTCTACCAGATCACTAGACGTATGATTTTTCACTTGTTTAATTCCAATTTATCATCACAGAATCAGACAAGCTTGTTCAATTTATCTTTTTATCCACCCACCCATTTATGAATTCATACATCTTTCTATCCAGTCGTTCATGCATGAATACGCATATTTATTCATCCACCTGTACCACCTATAAAACCCACCCATCCACCCATCAATCCATCTACTTTTTGTACTGAGAGATGAGATAACAGTCTAGAAGATTGAGAAGCAATAAAACTTGTAGAATACTACTTTCTAAACAAAAGAAAACGATATATACAAATCATTCTTATTTTTGCTGCTATAACGTGTTCTTTTTGCTTCAAAGGATCTATGCAAAGGCTTACGCTTTCGTTTGGTCCTTCTATTTTTCGTTTCTCTTTTGAACAACCAACAAAAATCGGCCATCATGTTTTCATCCCATCTTCCTTGATATCGCTGTTCTATAACCTTCATATCCTGATGAAATCGTTCGCCTTGTTCTTCGCCAAGATCCAAGATTTTCAGGAAACCAATCCAGATGTATGTGAATAAAAGAAGTGCTACTTGTAGTTCATCAAACATCCCAGATCTTGGAAGTCTTTTATCATTTTTGATACAATTTCTTCGTATTTAGGACTATTCGTGTTTCCTAAAAAAATTGTCGCTACAGCTTTGAAACTAGTCCAAGCACTCTTCTCAATGCTACTCATTGTAGTGATGAATGTTGCATCCTTGAACAATGTCCTAATCTGAGGTCCATAGAATACACCTTCTTCCAATTTCGCCTCAGAAGTATTCGGAAATTTTCGCCCTATATAGGACGAAAATTATTTTAGGAAACAACAAGAGTCCTAAATACGAAGAAATTGTATCGAAAATAATAAAAGACTTCCAAGATCTGGGATTTTTGATGAACTACAAGTTGCACTTCCTTTATTCACATCTGGATTGATTTCCTGAAAATCTTGGAGATTATAGCGAAGAACAAGGCGAACGATTTCATCAGAATATGAAGGTTATAGAACAGCGATATCAAGGAAGATGCGATGAAAACATGATGGCCGATTTTTGTTGGTTGTTAAAAAGAGAAACGAAAAATAGAAGGACCAAACGAAAGCGTAAGCCTTTGCATAGATCCTTTGAAGAAAAGAGAACACGTTATAGCAACAAAAATAAGAATGATTTGTATATATCGTTTTCTTTTGTTTAGAAAGTAGAGTATTCTACAAGTTTTATTGCATTCTCAATCTTCTAGGCTGTTATCTCATCTCTCAGTACAAAAAGTAGATGGATAGATGGGTGGATGGGTGGGTTTTATAGGTGGTGTAGGTGGATGATAGAAAGATGTATGAATTCATAAATGGGTGGGTGGATAAAAAGATGGATCCAGAACTCTGCAAAACGAATTATGCCGTGAAAATTGCGTTTTAAATCCATTTTCAGTTTTTGAATGAAATTGGACCAGCTTGTCTGACTCTATGATGATAAATTGGAATTAAACGAGTAAAAAATCATACATTTAGTGAGCTGGTAGAGTAATTTGATTTTTTATACTTCGTCTATTACTTTTTTTTTGTGAATTTTGACCTGTTTTTTGAATTTTTCCCGAAAACACAGACCCGTTGGGCCAAATCTGAAGGCAGATTCGGATTCAGCGGAAAAAAATACATGGAAATACATGGGTCTGAATACCAGATCCGATACTTTTTTTTTGTGGGGCTCTGTAATCGTTCATCAGTTATCAGTTTGATAAGATTTCGTTCGAACAAATTGTTTGTGTAGGTAGTGATGACTGGTAATGTGCTAAATAGCATAACTAAAATTTGTATTAAACTACATCACCTCATCCTCGTCATTTATTGTCCTTCTCGACTTGTTCTTGTCCTTCAAAAACATCATGGCTTCGTAAGCGAACCATTTACTCTTATAACTAGAAATTGTGCCGCATTTCGAACTCTTGCCTTCCTTTTTCAGTTCCCTTGCAAAGTGACTGAGCAGATTTTTTACTTTTCTCTCGATTTCTTCCTTGCTCTCGCCCAAATAGGCTGCTATCTTCCTCATTTCCTCCTGCCTCTTGGCCTTGTCCTTATAATGCTCGTGTTTGTTGTCCCACAACGCAGGGCGATCGCGATACATTTCAATTAAGTGGAAGACCTTCTTGTTTGTCCATTCCGTCATTTTCATATGTGAACTTGTTTTGTTAGCAGTTGAACGGGCACTAGAAGCCGATTGCCGCTGCCTGCTGCCGCTGACCGTTGTTTCGGCTCCGTTCCATTTGATTCCCAGGTCTCGATCCACGATCGGCACGAGGACGTGCCGCGTGAGGCCACTAGGTAGATTCTGGCACGGCCAAGTGACTCTATTAGTCACTCGCCGCGAGTTAGAACTTGCATTAATCTTTTATTTGCGAAATATAAAGTGCAGTCTCTATTACAGAGCTCGTTATAATGAATAAGAAAAAATGGATAACGCAAATCTTTAATAGGAAGCAGAATTAAACATTGCGTTGTTGCAATTTGTATGCGTTGCAAGGGGTATACGAAAATTAATTAGTAACTATCCGAACTTATCATTTTCTCTCTATAAAACCACGGGAAATACAATAACTTACACTTAAAGTATCTGTTAAAATTTTAGAAATATTTTTGGTTTATTGACGCAATTATAATTTTCTTAATAGTCATCATATACACAATGAGAACTATGTTTAAACCCTCGTATAATTGTGAGAACCGGAAACTGTCTCCACTCTTTACAAGGTCACTCAAGAGAGATAATCTTGGCTTCAACTTTTGTTAACGAAAATAGAAAAGTTGTTCATATACAGGGTGTCCCGCTTTAATGTTCAAAAATGTGTTGAATTTTTTTTTGTTAATATCAGAGTTAACCAATTGTTTTCAAATTTCATGTGACAAATAAAACATTTCAGAACGTCAGAAGAAGTCAGTGGTGTGTAACCTGCACTCCCTGACACCTTTTTTGAAAAGTATATGTTACTCCATTGACTAATGTTTAAAATAATGTGATATGTCGATTTTTAGTACATTTTCTTACAAAACTGTATCACTTTTAGCATTCAAACCGTAGCATAATTCCAAAATTTCGATTTATTTCGAAACGGTGTCTTTTATGAAGAAACTGTAAGAATACTGTTTTGTAGGAACATGCACGAAAATATTCACATTATGCCTGGGGATCCTTTAAATTATACTCATGAGGGATTATTTTAATTTGTCTGTTATTTATGGAAAAAAATAGCAAATTCTCTAAATGCTCTTGAAATCGCATTTTCCAGGCATTTTTATTTAAATTTTAGCAAAAACTATTCAGACGCAACAATAATTTGACAACTAACTTGACAAATATCAAGTTATTTCAATTCTTTTTGTAGTGTTTCTGGTCATGGCCAATTTGACAACAGGTCTGATACGAGAAAAACTGCCCAAAAAATACAAAATTGCAAATATCTCTAAAAGGAGTAACGGCAGCCCTAACAATGCTTATATAGCTTGAAACGAAATTTAAATCTGCATCAAACAGAGGGTGTTACATTTAACTTAACAAAGTTATAGCTGTTTGAAGTTATCAAAATGTAACAGCAAAAATGAAACACCTAGTATTAAATGTTTTAATTTGTTGGTATACCATAATTTATCTTTGCAGGTACAAAAAAATCCATTTGATATCACGCTCTTGAAAAGAGTTACTAGCATCTCCGCGGACCCTTTCATCTGTCAAATTTTTTCTTTAAATATTAATATTTCAAATTCTATAACTCCTAGGTATAGGGAATATAAAGTGGCCCTCAAATTTCACGTAGAATGCGAAAATGCAATAATATATAGGATGTCCCATTTAAAATAACGAAGTCGGTGTCGACTTCCGGTATAACCGGAAGTGCTGGAGAGTTCTAAATATTTTAGTTGAATTCGTTCTCGGGACACTGCCGCGCTGCCAAATTTTCAAATTTTTCGGAACAGTACTTTCCTAGATATCGATCGACGCAGTTCCCGGTGGGACACCCTGTATAGAAGCTGCCTTTCAAAGCAAACACGCCTTTTTAATTTTTAAAATAAGAACAAAAATTTTTTTTTGGCAAAAATGATTTATTTTATTCAATTCCGACTCAATATACCGATTTTAATTTTTCCAAAAAAGGTAAAAGTCGCACGGTGCCAAATCAGGCGAATACGGAGTGTGGTTGACATTTAAAATGTGATTTTTATTCAAAAAATTGGTCACAAGTGTCGATGGATGAGATGGCGCATTATCGTGCAACAAACGTGAACTTCCTTTTGCGCGATATTTTGGCCGAACAGAATGCACCAAACGCTTCAAAACGACGAGATAGAACTGTAAAATAACGGTTTGGCTCGGTAGAATGAACTCATTTTGGACAATGCTCTTGAAATTGTAAAAGCAAATTAACATTGTCCTCACTTTTAACTTCTCCAAACGAGATTTTTTGGGTTTTCGCTCGTCTAGCGCCTTCCACTCGGCACTTTGGCGCTTGGTTTCCGGATCATACTGAAAACACCACGTTTCTTTACCAGTCACGATGTTGTAAAGGAAGTTTTTGTCCTTTTTGGCCTTCTTGATGATGTCCTTGGAATGTTGAATTCTGAGAAATTTTTGGTAGTCAGTCAACTTGTGCGGAACAAACTGTGCTCACACTTTTAGGTAACCCAAATGTTCGGCCAAAATGCGATAAATTGATATTTTTGAGATGTTTAGTTCCAATTCCATGAAGATTTTGGCTGATATTTGATGAATTCACACACAGTTTTGATGGAATCTGCGGTGATCACGGATTTTGGTTGCCCCTTCAGACCCAATAACTCCGCTTCTCTTCGTCCAAAGGTCATGAAATTTTGAAAATACATCAGTGAAGGATCTACCTTTACCCACGCATGTAATTGCCAATACACAGACCCACTAGAAATACTTATTTTTGAAAAGTTCTGTTTACTTTGGGACGCAACTTGTATGAAAGTCTCATTACTTTTTTGAGTTCTATGTATTCAAGACTATTTTCAGAACTAAAGGGGGACACCCTGTATTTCTAATAGATACATGGTGAAAATTAAACAATGTGGCGTCATTTATATTTCTCCTCTTAATAGTAATATGTATTCGAACTTTTGCCACGATTAAGAAGAGTCTTTGAATGCCATTTGTAATTACTTGGTTTTCCTGTTTATAAAGTCAGTTTGATTTTCGTATACAAAGTGTCCTAATGAAGTGGGACGGTGAATATGAACTGAAAGAAGCTATTCCTTACGAAATTGCTGCAATACCAAGATCAAAACTACTAGTTACTGATGCATGATTTCAGAAGAAAGCTTCTAAAGAACCTATCTATCTCGCAAGACCAAACGCTACTCAGACGATTTAATTTTAAAAATAAGACGACGAACATTAAATTTTAACAACTAAGTTGGCTTTCCTACTACTGCTTTAAAACCCACTCATTCCACTAGCACCAGTATATGTATATAGAGTGTCCCAATTAATTGGTACAAGTCATTAATATGATAATTAAAAAACAAATGATGTTTAAATATTCTCTATAACATATTTATTTGAAACCGATAACTTGCTAGCGATGCCTATTATTTTTTTTTAATAGTAATAGCAATCCTTTTAATAACACCACATTACTTTTCTACAGTTCTTCTATTTGATAGAAAACATTTGATTTCACTTTTTCTTTACTTATTACGAACGCGTATAAATTAAGTCATATTGTGTAATAATGAAAAAAAAGTATCACAGTTTCTATATATAGTCTAAAAATAAATATACAGATAATAAAAATGAATATCCTGAAATATAAACGACTTCAAAAATTAATATTTTAAAGATGAAAATAAACTAAGGATACTAAAACTTGTGTAGTATGAGTAAAAACAGAGTTAATAATAGAGAATCCATAGTTTACCCATAATTCCAGCTATAACTTCGTTTTAAGTTGTTTTTCACGATAATGTATTTAGAAAGGAAACGTTTATTGCACTAGTTTGCTTCTTATTACCGTGGGAAGAGCCAATTTTCACCAGTGGTCGGGTCCTACGCTAGCTTTTAGAGAAAACTTTCATTTCTTTAGCGGCAATTGGTCTGTTCCTCCTTCAACAGTTGAAGCGGAAATTTGACGAATGACATGACATAAAGTAGCAATACTAATTTTTTTAACGTCATTTTTTATTTATACAATAATGTAAGCGCATCTAGCTTCAAAATAATGAAATTTAAATACAAACTTAAAGAAGTTATATGTATTTAAAACGTATATCACTGTCTTCGAAATTTGAAAATTTGTTGATTCATATCAAATATTTATCAGTTACAACACCAAAATAGGTGGAATTAAATATAAATTAAAAGATACTGTAATCTATTTGTTATCAGCGGTATTGATGTAATTTCTATTTTATATGTGCTTGTATCCAAGTACTTTTATTTTAAGATTTATCAAGTTCAAAATACCTAAAATATTTGTAAAAAAATAGAATCATACAACACACCCGCCCTTTTTATTATTTAAAATGTACATACATTTCAGATTCGTGACCTTTTTGAAACAAAGAATTAATTAATTAATCCTTTTTTTTAGTTAATTATGTTTGAACATCGTTTATAATCAAGTCATCGCCCTGTACATAATTGCGACTTATTCTTCAAGTCCTAATATTAAAGACTATTTTATAATCTCGATGTTTTTAGTTCCTATATAAAAAAATATCAAGGAAGCATTTCCTGCATATATTTAGGAAGTACCCTGTATATAATAACAATAGACACTTATCGTAATGTATTTAAATGGATAAAACAATTTTAATTGTATACTTAACGCTATAAATACATAAGGCAGACATTATGATATCCTAATTATTTTGGTTGGGCTTAACGTTACTCATTGTTTGTACATATTTACAAACAGAAACATACTTGAAATTTTTATTCATTATTTATGATGTCGGAGACGCCAACCTGTCTGGCGGGCACGAAATTTTTACTCATCATCATCAATATAAACAAAATAAATCAAGCGGAGCGCAACATAAAACCACATCAATTACACAATTTTATTATTTTCACACCAACAACTTAAAACCGTTTATTATGACAGTTAAAAATTATATTTTATTATGGTATAAGTCTTGTTTCAAATTGACTCGGTGCTATTACCAA